GTCACAGAAATTGGGGCCATCTTTAATCCACTAAGTCTTTTGTCAATAAACAAAGTTATGGATTACACAAAAACATTTTTTGGGGAAATCTATGTCTACCATTTTTTTTCAATGCTTATCTCAATGGTATGCTAGCTAATATGGCAAATAACACCACATTTAAAATCAGATTATAGGCCCCATTCTATATTCTTTTTTATTGGGGATTGCTTACTTCTTCCATATGGTACAGCTTTAAAGACACAACTTTAGCAAACATATTTGCTCCTTCCTTACAGGCTTTCCCCCCATTTACCTGTGTGAAATCCAAGTCAGAATGTCTTTCACATCATAAAGCAAGATCTCTCTACCGGTAGGCCACGTTTCCCCTCTCGCATCATCAGCTACATTCCACACTGAGCATTGAATGTGAACCTGGACGATCTTTTATTATTTATTCTGAATTTCTAGCCTCTGCCTCATAAAATTACAACTGTGTGGGAAGCAATTTCTGTTCAGGTCAGAATTCTGTTGAAGCCATGCAAGTACCTTGCCCAAAGCAATAGAAAGAACCACTGTGTCATACCTGCAGCTTAACACCTAGCTCTACAAATTACACAGGTAAAACTTCCTTTTCATACAGGTGAGCAGTTCAAGTGTCAGAGCAGGGATGATCCTATATGAGCTGACTCAATACACAAAGATATACATCCAAACTTCGGATTTAGTGTTTGCCCTTTTATTAGCATTTACTTGTTATTGGAAATTCATTTTTAAGTGTCCCATCAAACATGTTACTATGTTTTGTGTAGAAGAATTTACTTATTATAATCTATTAGAGGTAAGATTTTGATTCTGACGTTATCTGCAGCTCAGAAGTTTCTATATGTGGGGTTTTGTATAATTTATTTTTCAATATTTTGTAACTTTAAATTTTCCCCTTGGCCTGAAATATATATCCACATTGTTTTAATTTACTTGGTTTGATTGTGTGCCTTCTACTGTTTTCTGATCGTACTTGGTTTATGATGAATGTTGTCAATTTGATTTCTTTCAAAATTTGAGGTTTCTCCATGGCTAGCCCATGGTGACCTTTGTGATTGATTTTTCCATGGTTATTGAAAAACAATATGTTTTGGGAAGAAAGTGTGTGTGTGTTTGCAGAGGATCTATCTTATGTTACTTTGTATGTGAGTGAGAAAAATTCAACTGGAGTTGTATACTACATTTTTTTCTTAATACTTCCTAGAATTTGTTTTATGAATATTGATGACTTGTGTAACAACATTTATAACTTAAATTCTCATTGTGTATTCCTTTCTTTGTAACAACATGTTCTCCTGTTTCACACTTGGTGTTTTTTGCCATGCATGATTGATCTATGTGCCTTTTGGGGTTTGTTTGCATAGCCTTAATATGCTCTGCCCTATTATTTTCAAACTATGAGTCACTTTAGTTTAACATATTCTGAGTATACCAATTGTGAGAGTTCCATTGTCCATTCTCCCTTTTGTTCTCTGATTTAAAAAAATATATATTTCCATTTCTTTTTGTAATTTTTATTCTATCTCTCTTACCATTCTTTTATTTTTTTAATCCTCACTGGAGGATATTTTTCTGTTGGTTTTTAGTGAGAGTGGAAGAGAGAGGGAAAGAAATATCCATGTGATAGAAACACACTGATTGGTTGCCTCCTGCAGGAGCTCTGACCAGGGCCCGGGCTGGGGAGGAGCCTGCAACCAATGTATGTGCCCTTGACCAGAAATGAACACCTCGAACCCTTCAAGTCTGCAGGCTGACACTATCCACTGAGCCAAACTGGCTAGGGTTCTCTTACGGTCTTTGATGGAAGTAGACTACAGTAATAATTGTTTTAGTGAAGAATTGTTGTGAAAAGTGAATATAGCGTCCAGCATTTGTTCTGTAGCAGCCATTGCAGAGGCAATGTGCACCCAGGCGGTGTGAGGGCCCCCCTCCCTTCCCCCTGCCAAGCTCCCTCCTGGGAACCACACAGCTTCTCAGCATCAAGGCCTATCATTGCTCTACCAGGGGTCTTCAAACTTCTCTCATTATGAGAATCACCTGGTGGAGTTGTTAAAACACAGATTCCCGGATCCCAACTATAAGAAGTGCTATCAGGAATCTGTGTTTTAACACCTCCACCAGGTGATTCTCATAATGAGAGAAGTTTGAAGACCCCTGCAAACTGTGACTGTGAGCACCTGTGCCTCATCTCCATTTACTTTGTGCATTCCTGCGTTTACTGCAGGTTAGTGTTATTTTAGGAATTAGGTTGTGTGTGTTGTTTAGCATGATTTGGCAGGTTCCTTTTTGGGTCTGGGACAGCTCAAAAGTTTTTCCATATAAATTCATGGTAATTGCTTCTTCGCTTTCCACCATTTGGCTTAGGAAAGGTTTCATAAGAATGCTGCACCTCCAGCTAATGGGAGAAACCGGTATACAAACACTTAAACCTCTAGGGCAGGTTTGGCAGTGAAACGAAAATTCAAAGACAATGGATTCAATATGGGAAGTGCCAATGGACTTGTAGGTCAATACCAGATGGTATTTAGGTGACAGTTTGGAGGCAGTAGATTGAATTACTAACATTCCAGCGGTTTTTTAAAAAAATATGTAACTCTAACCTCTATCATCCACATTTCTACCTCTTCCATACAGACCATATACACACAGCTTGGAGAATCAGAAATAAGAATGGTGGCTTAATCATCTTTAAAAACAAAATCCTGTACAAAGAAATGGGTAGTTCATATAATTTCACATGCATATAAAGCCTGTTCTTTAAATTGCACAATTTAATATATATATATATATATATAACCATGAAATATATAATATATATAATATATATATATATAGTGATTGATTTTTTCATGGTTATTGAAAAATAATATATTTTGGGAAGAAGGTGTGTGTGTGTGTTTTATATATATATAAAAAATCAGAGAGGGAGAGGGAGACAGAAACATCAATGATGAGAGATTATCTATGATTTGCTGCCTCCTGCCTGCATCACACTAGGGATTGAGCCAACAACCCAGGCATATACATTTTTAACTCTGAGCTGAATAACTCCAGCTATTAATTTTAGGAAAGTTAACTGAATTAGCAAATGAACATAACTAATGGACACAGACAGTAGGGGGGTGAGGGCATGTGCTGGGGATGGGGGTGGCTGGGGAGAGGTCAATGAGGGGAAAAGGAGACATATGTGATACCATATGTAATACTTTAAACAATAAAAACAAACAAACAAACAAAAAACAAGTGTTGATTGTAAAGGAAAGACCAATAAATAAATGAGGGGGGAAAGTGTTTTTTATATTTTAAAAGTATTGTGTTCTCCGTTGGAAGTCTCCTTTTGATTTCAATGACAGTGCAGGGAATACCCTGATAGGTGTAAAATGAAGCTGTACCACAAAAATATAAACCTTGTCTAAAAAGCCCAAGTCAGCTCTGATCAACATCCACAATTCTAGCCTTTATTGAGATAAAGACTTTGGTGTTTATCATTCTGAATGGCTCACACAGCCTTTCATTTTTAACACACATTTTAATTTAAATGCTACTATAATGCTGCACAGTATCTCCTTGTATGGGTACTGTTCAAGAGCAAACCACAGGCTCAAATGCCATCACTTATGCTAAAGCCCATGACACCAAACTTAGATTTAATACCTGACCTATTGCTGTTTGAGTCCCTCCCAAAAAGGTAATCTTAGTTAACACCCAGAAATGCTCTGGTGAATGAGGTAATGTGTGACCTGGGCCTTCTCATCCCCCACCCCCACCCCCCATTGAAAAAAAAAAAAAAAAGAGGCAATTTGCATATAAAAATTCTGGCTGTCCATCACTCCCCCAAAATGTCTTGGCCTAAAAATAGTCCTTTCTTTTGTTAATAGCTCCCTTTCTTATTAAAACTGTCCCTTTTTGTATAGTTCTTTGGAGAATTCTTCTACTTGCTCTATTGGATGCTGCTGGATTCATGAATTGTTTAATACAAACAATTAAATCTTCCAACTTATGTGGTTAAACTTTGTTTTTTAATAATATACAATTGTGCATTTTATTTTCCCCCTATAGCTAAGCATTTAGCTGTTGTTATTTACTACTGCTATCGTTATTAATTTGTTGCATGTATATCCAAGCAATGGGCTTCTCTATATTCTCCCTTGTACACATAAGCAAATGTTTATTCTGGGTTGATAGTAAGGGAAAATACAAATTAAAAATAGGGCTTAATTCTCCCTGTTGAAAATAAGGGAAGAGACTATACCCACTCCTGCGTCCTCCCTACCTTTTCTGAGAGTATTTCATTTGAAACTTGTAGGTTTTTTCTCTTTAAGTATGTAAATTGATTTGAAAGCTAAATAAGCCTCTGCCAGCTTTCTCAAGGACCTTGAATACATATCAGAAAAGGTCAAAGAGTTATTTAAAAATGTAATATACTATATAATAATCCTATATAATAAAAGGGTAATATGCAAATTATCCCCTTGACCAGGAGTTCGACCAGGGGGCAGGGCCAGCCTGTCTGCCACCAGGGGCCCCCCTCATCCTGGCCATGCAATAATTTGTGCATCGAGCCTCAACTGTACATATTTGTGATTCCCAGGCAAAGCTTAGTTGGTGAAAAGTATGAGCTCCATTTTGCAAACCATGACTATTTATTCCCAGATCAAGCATAATTCTGTGCCTGTCAGATCAAGTGTAATTCGGTGCTATTCCTCCACCCCCACTATTAATAAATGCATGGATCATTCCTATTCAAGTTCATAATAATGTATAAGACAATTTTTTATAGCTCATTTCACATTAGCTTTGGATTATGTAACAAACACCTTTAAATATCCCTCTAAAAAAGAGAAGTTGCACCTTCCACATGATACCATTAAGTTCCTTAGCAATAGAAGCAAAAGTAAACAGACACAAAGTTTTCTAAGGCATAAAAATAGACCCTGGATTGCCCGGTAGAGCTACATTAATTTAAAACAAAGACATCAGTCAAAATATTTATTCTGTTCTTAATTGGGTTGAACGGTAATACAAATATTGTGAGCCAGACGTACCTTTCTCATGTATTATACTTTAAATGCTCAAAACTTTATATAAAACCACAGGACCTTGTTTCTCTCACAATTCACACTATGGAACCTTGGATCTAATCTTTGAATAACTTCTCTCCTTGACCATGACTGTTATAGATATAGGCTCCAGTTAGAAGCTTGTTTTACTGAACAGAAACGTCAAGCCTTCTGTGGCTAACAGTCTAAAAGCCTCCCTCAAAAGCGAAGTTAGAATACAAAAATATGGACTCGTACCATTACTGTAAAAGTGCTGGGAAAGTTTTATTACCACCCCAGTGCTTACACTAAGAGCCACAACGTGCAACTCGTACCAAATCCTGGACATTGTCATTTTCAAAGATGTGAAGAAGGATGTAAACATTATCCTGAACCTGAGGGCAACAGCAATGAGAGAAGCCCGAGTGCTCACTCTATGTCTGGCCATGCTCAGGATAGACACTAATACCCACTTCAGCTAAGGCTCCCATGGCCCTCACAGTCACGTTAAAGCACAGCCCTGGGAAGATCCCAGAGCAGGGCATCCACCATCTCAATCCCTTCTCAGAAATTTGCTCCAAATGGAGAAATGAAGTCAGGCTGCCTCTGGCAAGCAGGAGAGGAGCTGAAGCCACGTCAGCAACACTGCGATTTGCTCTCTGCTGGCAAGGCCTCCTGGTGCAGCTTAATTTTGTCCCCATCGTTGTCTTCATTGGGAAAGCTTTGGTGGTTCATGAGGATGTTCTCTACCAGGAACCGGGCTGCTTCTTCTATGTTAATGTTGTCCTGTGAAGCAAGAATAAGGAACAAGATCAGTTCTATGAATTGACCCACAGAATAAAGCATTAAGAACATTCACAGGAACTAGGAAAGTTCCTCAGCATCATCTTCTCTGACACTGAAGTATTACCCAAGAGTTCAATGCCACTGTATCATGTGGCTATGGAAACCTCTTTTTTTTGACAAAAGATCACCTTTTTAGATGTTCCTATTTTAAACATTTTGCCACTGAGGTTTAAAAAAACGATTTTGATGGTTGCAAATAAAAAAACAATTTTGATGGTTGAAAATAAAAATTCACCCCCCTCTGGGTTGCCACTCACATGAATGGAAGCACTGAAACGAAACCATCCCTGCCTTTGAACATCTAATTCAAGCATTCTGGATACATCTGAAGAAAAATGTCAAGGGGCCACACCACATTAAAATAGGATAAATCCATCCTGTTGCTTCCCCATCTCTGAGTGGTGCCAGAGGAGTGGGTTCTTGGCTTCACACAGGTAAGAATTCAAGGCAGGAGCCAGATAGACAAGAGGTTAATGTGGAAAAGCAGGTTTTATTGAGCACAGAGGACACGTAAATAAAGCCACTCCACAGAGTAGTCTCATTTCCTTCTCTTGTGGGGTCTCATGAGAGAAGGAAAGAGACTCCAACAATTTCTAGAGGTTAAGCTTATATCTGTTCTGTTTATAGTTTCCTTGAAAGTTGCTGGCATGGGGAAAAGTTGGGATTAACTTTAACCATTACAAGGTATATTTTGTGGCCTTGTGCTTTCCCTTTTTTAAGGTATGGGTGGAGTGGTAAGGTACGGGTGAGGAGCTAGTCATCAATCCTTGTGGGACCTTTCCCTGTCCAGAGGCTCTTCCTGGTCTGCTTGCATCTCTGGTCAGCCCAGTTCCATGTCAGGCAGCATCAGGCAGGCCCTTGACTGATTTTGACTTTAGTTGATTTATATAGTCCTCATGCCCCTCCTGTTTTATTAGTAGGAATCATTAATTTTAGATGGCACATGTAAATTGACCTGAGACAATGTTGTAGGTGTGATATCCTTTAAGACTATCCTATGGAATCACTACCTATCACATGTGTGCAATAGATTTATAAGTCGTCATCAATTAGACAAAAAGCAACACAGAGCAAAATCTGTGATTTTTAAAATATATAACTTAATATTTTTAAATAATTTTATTTAGTAAAACTGCAATAATAGTAAAAATTCACCCATATTCCTCAAATGTTAACATTTTAGATAACTGGAGTACAACTATCAAAATCAGGAAGTTAGATAATAGTACTATCAGCATTATTCTATTTATCATATTCAAATTATACCAACTGTACAGGTGAGCAGCTGAATTTTGCGGTCATGTCTCCTGATTCCTTTAATCTGAAACAGTTCCTTAGTCTCCTTATTTTCACGAATTTGACATTCTCGGAGAGTACTTGCCAGAGAATATCTCTTAATTTGGGTCTGCTTGATGCTTCCTTATCATTAAGTTCGTTATGCATTTTGGACAAGAATAAGGCATGCATGATCTGTCCTTATCAGTGTATGAGGCCCACTTGCTTAAAGTTCTGTCTGTCAGGTAGAAGTGAAACTTCTAACACACACACAAACAAGCACCCTCTACCCTCCAGTACTTTGTGCTTTTGATTTTCACTTTTGCTTTCTTGCATATCTAGGCTGTTAAGACTTTCAAAAGTGACTTATGTGTGTGTGTTTATTTTACTTATTGGTTTAAGAGAGGAAGGGAGAGAGAGATGGGAGGGAGGGAGAGAAGGAGAAAGGGAGGGAGGGAGGGAGGGAGGGAGGGAAGAAGGGAGGGAGGGAGGGAGAGAGGGAAGGAAGGAGGGAAGGGGAGAGAGGGAAGGGGGAGAGAGGGGGAGAGAGAGAGAGAGAGAGAGAGAGAGAGAGAGAGAGAGAGAGAGAGAGAGAGAGAGAGAGGAGAGAGAGAGGAGAGGAGAGGAGAGGAGAGGAGAGGAGAGGCGCGGAGGGACGAGGAGAGGAGAGGAGAGGAGAGGAGAGGAGAGGAGAGGAGAGGAGAGGAGAGGAGGGGAGGGGAGGGGAGAGGAGAGGGAGGGGAGAGGAGGGAGAGGGAGGGAGAGGGAGGGAGAGGGAGGGAGAGGGAGGGAGGGAGGGAGGGAGAGGGAGGGAGGGAGGGAGGGAGGGAGGGAGGGAGGGAAGGAGGGAAGGAGGGAAGGAGGGAAGGAGAGAGAGAAACATCAACTTGTTCCACTTATTTATTCATTCACTGATTGATGCTTGTATGTTCCCTGACCAGGGATTGAACCTGCAACCTTAGCATATTGGGACAACACTCTGACCAACTGAGCTAACACACCATGAAAGATAAAAAAAATTAAAAAATAAAATTATCCAGCTTCCCATAATGGTTCAAAGAAAAATTCTCATTCTACTATTCATGAGGAAATATATCACAAATATTGATACTTTCTTCTTGTTCAAATGATTTCATACACAGTTAATATAAAACTCATCAAGTGTCATCCAAATACATCTCTCTGACTCTTTCAATGCCTTTGCTAGCCTTGCACATGAACTACATCTTCACCAGGGTCATGGCCCTAGGTTTTGTTAGCCTTCTGGAAAATTAAAAAAAAATGCTTGTGCTTCACCTCATAAACTCTTGGTGCACGAGACTTCATTTAAAGACTCAAGCTCACAGAAAATGGCATTTGTTATTTACTCTAAGTAACAGCTCATTTTCATTTTAATGTGAAATCTATCCTATTCAACTCCCACTAACCAATTTTGAAAGCATTGCTGCTTTTGACTGAACTTTTTTCTAGGCTTCCAACCAGCACTCACCTAAGTCCACCTAAATACTTCATATTTACAAGCTAACAGCAGGGTGGATACTCAGGCAGATCTCACCTTAGCGGAGGTTTCAAACCATCCAGTGAAGCCATGTTCTTTGCAGAACTGGTCCATCTGGGCAGGACTCTGGCCACCTTCCTTTTTCTGGTCACATTTATTAGCTAAGAGAACAGCAGGGATAGGGCTACCATTTGGAAGATGAACTTTACTGTCCAGGTCACTTTTCCATTTTAAGACGGCCTCAAATGTGGAACCTCTCGATATATCAAAGACTACAAAAGCACCAACAGCTTCTTTATAGTAGACTCGGGTCATGTTGCCAAACCGCTCCTGCCCTAGAAAAAAAATACAGTAAGAGGTTAAACACTCACGATTTAGTCAGGATCCCTATTTAGAGTGAACCTCTCTGACCCTAAGAATAATGGCATAAACACATATTCTCCCATTCCACTGCAATATCAACTGTGAGATTAAAAACATACACATAGAGCTGACTCACAAAGCAGAGTGGCTGATCATGTGGCCTGCATACACAAGGAACTCATTTTTGTTCTGCTTGTGTACAACACGGTGTCCATAACCTTCAAGGTCAGTACTTAAAGTACAGAGTCCATCACTTCCCTCTCTCCTTGGGCTAAGAAAAGAGAGGTACCAAAGGGAAAAAGCAAGCTGGGAGTAGTGGAAGAAGAGACAAGAATAGAAGAAAATGAAGCTTGCAGGAAGAAGATAAGTATAGTGGGTTAATGCTAACCAAAAAGATTGGGACTGGACATGAGATAAAGAATCTCATGCTCTTAACTTATCTTTCACATCTCCACCGGATTTTGACTTGATATACAAGATTGCTCTCTTCTAAAAAGGCAGACACATGCAAAACTATTATTTTAGAACAAAAAGTGGCACCATGGTTGTGCTATTAAAGGAAGGATCAAATTACAGAGTTCTCCAAAGATTTTACTTTTAAAATAATTTAACAGGTTAAAAACTTTTTGGGGAAAATCTATTGCTTACACTATCATATAAGACTTTGCAAAGCATGCTCTTACTATCTGATATCACACTATTCTTGGAGTAGGAAGGTCCTTATCTTCAGCTGACAGATGAAGAAACACGCAAAGAGCTGCTTGACCAGTATTCAGTAGCAATGACTCAAGATGAGACTTGAACCTGGGTCTCCTGACTCCCACATGCCTATGGAAATATGATGCCAGCCATTCTGAACTTGCAGTTGCCTTGACTTTTAAAGCTTATACCTTCAATCAGCCAAGTTACTGAGTAGAGGACTAAGAAAACATGAGTGGCAATCAACATTAATCTGAGATTTATAACTCTGATCAATGTTAAAAAAACACTGCAATAAGACATTTTCCTAGTAAAACACATGATGAAAAGCATGCTTTATCTACATTTTATTGATAGTAACAAATGCAAAGCTACCCTGAATAAATATATTTCTCCTTCAAATTCTACTAAGCCATCATGCACTTTTAGATATTAATGGAATAATGGAAGGATAAAATAATTTTAGCCCCCCCCTCCCCCAAATCTTGATTATTCTGAGATTCTACTTTCCACAAACACATAAGTGAAATTCCCGCAATGCTGAACGCTCCTGGGTTGTGTCCTATGACAGGAGAGGACTGGCTGGAGAAGAAAGCCATAGTTACTCACTACAAAGACAGTTGCATAAGTTTTGTTTTGTGTGGTGTGGACATGTTAAGCATTAAAAGTTTACAGCAATATGGAAACTCAGCAGGACCCAGAAGATCTTCCTCTTTTTTAAAAATCTCATTTTATTGTATTGATTTCAGAGAGAGGAATGAAGGAGAGAGGGATAGAAACATCAATGAAGACAGAATATCATTGATTGGCTATTTCCTGCATACTCCTTACTGGGGATCCTGCCCAAAACTGAGGCATGTTTCCCTGACCAGGAATCGAACCGTGACCTGCTGGTTCATGGGTAGACACTCAACCATTGAGCCACATTGACCGGGCGAGAGATCTTCTCTTCATAGGTCTGAGGAAGTAGTTCAGATGGTGGGAGAACTTTTAAGCAACACCATGTTCTTCAACCAGTCCTGTGGCTATTTCTCCCTGGAGGGAGGAGAACACTTCCATGCTTTCCCGACAAAACACTTAAGTGGACAATATTATAACTGGAAAAGAACAGCCTGTATTATCTAGTCATACCTCTCTTACTTTGTAGCCAAGAAAATAAAACCCCAGGGAAATGAAGTTCCTCAAGTATCCTAGGCTGATTGGTTATCTAGCGTGCTGTCTGATCTGTTGGGCAAATATTTTCTGGATATACACTGCTCCATATGTCCCCATGTTTCCAAACAGATCCAAGGCAGTAAGTACCATAGCATAGCCCTAATGCACAAGTTAACCCTCTGCTCTCTGTCCCTTAAGGCTTTTCTATGGCAGCTAAGGGAAATGTCCCACTGCTGACTACCTGAGTGACCCTGATATTAGGGATGGCCTTTTTCATTCATATTGCTGTGGGCACATTGCCAGCATATTTCAAAGGACTCTACATTGTCTTATCTAGAAGTTACTATCCGTGTTTTTATTATAACTACACATCTTGGCACTGAGAAAGGAGAAAAAGAGCACTGTACCAGTCATCTAGGTTCAGAGAAATGTAAAGATGCTCACCTTACCTGGAGGGATGACCCCTAGGGTACACATGTTACCAAAAGTATTAAAATGCTTATCTAATATCTGGGAGTATCCAACTCTAATAACTCTGAAAAGAAGTTGAGACAAGTACTGCATTCTTGAACCATTACCAGAAACACAGGCCACAGATGCTTTCTCTTAGGATTTTAATCACTGGTTTCCTTTAGTTTGCTAATGTTTGTCTCCATATTTTATGTTCATACCCCACTTACTAAATAATATAAACGTTTCTAAATGTTGTTTGAAACTCAAAATATAAATTTCACAATTACAATCAAGTCAAGCACTGGGACAATTGGTGCCTAGTTTTCCAAGTATAAATGCTTACTTTTTCCCATGCACTGAGCTACATATTCTTGCACAAGGTGACTGGATGAAAATGCATACTTTCTAGTGAGTGCATGTGAAACCATTTACAAAAATCCTTAAATATCACTGTGCACTTCAGAGATGAAGTTCTTCTAACAAGCTGATATGGTTGGCGACTGATAGGTCAAGACCCAGCCAAAATTTAAGTCCAATCATTGGTTCTAAAAGGATAACTGTATGTCCACTTAACACTTTATACAGCTTGAATTAGGTAATAATGTGGTGTTGTAATGTGTCTTGGGTTTTACATGTAAGAGGTTATAATTTGTAGCCATGTGAGTATTTTTGTTATTTTTAGGCATCAAGTTTATGACTCATTGTGCTACTAATTTATCAAGCTATTATAAACTTACCCCAGCATTACACTCTAGTATTTAACATGTTAGAATTATAAAGGTATTGTTAAAAGTAAAACAATTTCTTAAACTTCCATAATAATAATCAATAAAAGGATGTGAGAATAGACTGTATGCTAGTTGCACATTCCCCCTGTCCCCTGCACTGACTTGCATAATTTTCCATAAAATGAGTGTACTATTCTCAGTAAGAGAAGTTTAAAAGATAATGCATCAAATTAGCACCATCTGAGTGTAGATTTGATATGCACTGAATTTCACAGTTTAATAATGTACTAGTAAGAAGGGGAGTTACATGATATAACACAATTCCATTCATTTCTCTAATTTTCTTATTTTTTTAATGTGTTTTTATTTATTTATTTAAAGAGAGAGGAAGAATGATGGATATAGAGAGAGAAACATTGGTGAGAGGAGAATATTGATATGCCACCTTCTGCACGGTCCTTACTGGGGACTGAGTCCACAACCCGGGCATGTGCCCTGATGGGGAATGGAACCAGTAACCTCTTGGTTCATGGGTCAACACTCAACCACTTAGTCCTATGTAAAATGATAGGGAGATAACATAACAATGGAACCTTTGTCAGAAATATCTGGATCCATGCTCCATCTTTGTAAGTCAGTGACATAATAGCTGTCCTCAACTTTAGTACAAATCAGATCACCCATGGGGCTTGGTAAATTGCAAATTTTCAGGCCTCATCTCTGGGAATTCTAATTTGCTAAGGATGGAGGATTTCTAATTACCTACCCCAATATCCCATTACATAATTTTATTTGGAAAAGCAATATAAAAATGTTTTTAAAAGCCCTAGATTTCCTAGCATGTACATTTGATTGAACCACAAAAATATGAACTATGGCCAAGGAATAGCTGAGTGGTGAAACTTCAGCTTCAATCCATAAAAACTTTATGGTTCTTTCTGCTCACCAGCCTTGGATGGCTCAACCACACACTTACTAGTTGAGTTAACTGACTTCATGGTGATGTTTGTCAGATGAAGCCAAGTCTGTTGATACAGTTTGATGCTAAATAATCTGCCTTTTAAGAACCTCCCATGAGTCTGATGGAGGAGGCACCATATAACCACACTAAAAACAAAACAAAACAAAACAAAACACCAAAAAAACCCTCATACATTTAGCTTAATTTCAAGAAGCACTAGAAAACATCACTGCATAAGATGCTTAAGGCAAATATCTGGATAGAAGTTAATGTAAAGAATGGGAAGAAGAGAATGTAAGGCCATATATCAGTTAAGAAGACCAATAGAGATCCTTAAATTAACCCCCTGTTAGCCATTTATTTTTATGTGGTTCTATCTGGTTCATCTCATGCAAAAGAGTGAGGAAATTACAGATTCCTAGTCTCCTGGATTGCAAAGGGTCAAAAAGCTTTTTTGACAATATAATTGAATAAAATTATAAAGCACCTTTATTTTCCTTGAACTTTTATGTCCTTCAGAAATTTCCCTACATTTATGCTTTTACTATTTTTATTATCATTCAAGGTAAGATCTCTACAACCATAATACAACTTAAACTTGTCAACTTACCCACTCCCTATTAGGTAAGTGTAGTTTAAGTGTGAAATCCTTACTATTTTAAGAATATGCTATTTTGGGGTTACAAATCTAAGGCCTTCAAAGTCTTCCTCTTTGCAAGTATACTTTCAATCTGTCTTAATAAATGCCTAGAAGTATATATTAATTAAGCTTTTTATTTTCTACATTTTATGAAGCTTTGATATCCTAGGGCCTTGTGGACCAAGGGAAGGACTGACCCTCCCAGGGTTAGCTAGTTCTTAGATTTAGAGACAATTTGCTGAGAGCATGTCTTTGATATGTAAACCAACCAATACAGAGTCCATACACTCCATCAGCCTCCTGGTTGCAGGCTCCTGCATTCCAGGAGTCTATCCT